ATTGTGTAATTTTTTTTACTCTTTTGGAGTGTTAGTTTAACTTTAGTTTTCACTTTCTAACTTTGATCTAGTACTAAATGAAAAATAATAATTTGATTCATTCTAATATTGAAAATACTTCTAATCCAAACGACATTAGCCACGATCTACCCGTCACAACTTGATGTCTTAGCCTGGTACTTTACAAAGAAAAAGTGTGGCTTTGAGTTTATTGTCACAAGTGCATTAACTAGGTGGTTTGTGCCGTTTGGCACAAATTAGGCAAATAACTCTTTAATTTTGTACCATATTTACCGATCATATATTTAATAATAGTGTAACTACTTGCAAAATCAGAGTCCTGCCTATGCAAGAGATGTGGTTAGCAATATTCAAGAAATATGCAATATTTTCCATATTGATCATAAAACGCGTTTGCTTTATCCTTTTTTATTGGACCGGTATGGATAGCATTGAGGATTGTTGTTTCCTTAAATCATGTCATCATGTGATCATTCCTTGTATTAACAAAACCTCCTTACATTTTTTTTTTAAGGCTTATTGTAACTTTCAGGCTGTAATTGGATAACCAGAATTACAAGCACAATAATAATATTCAACATTGAGCAAACACTGCAACATCAATAGGCTATATAGCTCCCTCCTCCACATTAATTCAATCTTCAAAACAAAGCCCCTTCTTTGGTCCTGGTGGTGATGGTGCATTGAAGCCAGAACTGAGGTCTCCGTGGCCAACCGGTGTCTCGGAGGAGGCAGAGGCAGGCTGCAGAATCAGAGTGATGGAGGAGGGAGACACCTCACTCTTACAAACAGGGCACTCCGGATGGTCAAGGCAGAAGATCTGCAACCAATTTTGGAAACAAATCCCACAAAACAAATGGCCACAAGAATTCACCGCCGGCTCTCTGGCCATTTTCGAGCACAAATTGCAGTCGAAATAGGAAGCACATCTTGGTGGAGACAATGGCTCTGAAGAAGTCGCGTAGGAGGGTGAAGAATACGATGGACCAAACTCGCTCTGTGGGCCGTTGATCTCATCAAGTTCCTGGCTTTCTTGTTCATCATCATCATCTTGATGATGGGTAGAGCTTGAATCATCACTTTCATGGGTAGAAGATGAACCACGAATTGATTGAAGAGCAGAGCTATCAGACTCAAAAGCGTCATACTGAGGACCAGTGTTGCTGCCTTCCATGGGAGAAGAAGAAGCATCACAAGGACTGCAAAGCTTAACTTCAGAACAAGATTCAAAACCAGAAGCAGATTCATCTTCATCCATGAGATCATATTCTTCTGGTTCTGGGATTCTGAAGTGGAAAATCTCAGGGCGCTTCATAACTCGCATCCTTGGCTTGCTGCTTTGAAACCCACGCTTGATCATACTTTCCTTGTTGGAAGCCATAGATGAAACTAATCAAATTCAAACCCAGAATGCCAAGAAACGCAAAGAAATTGAACACCGAAAAAAGAAGCCTAATCAAGAACCAACCCAAAGCCAAATTCAAGAACAAATGACCACCCACTAAACTTTGAGGGGTTTCTTAAATAGGGTAGGGTTGTGATTTCCCAATTGACTTCCAAGTCTACTCGGATTAGTTGTACGACTAGAAATCCTTGGTCCCCAAGTTTTCCATAGCTGCACCTTTTTCATTTTTCCTTTTGCTAAATAACCCTTTTCATTTTTTTTTTTTTATAAATGAAATGACCCTTTTCATTTCTGGGGAAAAAAAAAAAGGTTTATAAGGCTGGGTTGCGCCCATGGTGAAACATAGTAGAGTAACTTTTGGGCCTAGACACAAATTACCCTATGTAACTCCCTTATATATTTCTTTTTTGTAAATGAAGCCGAACGTCAGTGGGGTCTAGTTTAGTTGGTTGAGCTTAAGCTCTACTCGTCTATGTGATCAGAGATTTGAAACCCCGAGGCACCAATGAATATTTGTGTAAACCCCCCTCCCCATCGCTTTTACTAAAAATAAAAAAAGAAATTGAGCACACCAAATTTCTGTAATTTATTTTCATCTTTTGCTTAAGCTAATTAAAGTAATATATATATATATATATATATATCTCTGGATTTGATTAAGAGATTGTGAGGTAGCAAATCATCTCAAAGAACATTAACTGTTACAAGTGAGCTTCCCATTTTATTAATTTCACTTGCTCATGCTTTGTAGTTTAGTTATACTATATTTATTGATCACATGTGACACAAGTCGGTTTTATCTATGCGAGAAATGTGATTAATTAGCAATATCATCATTAAGTATATGTGGCATTGGGGAATGCTAGCAACCTTCTCTCCAATATTCTCCTTTGGACCTTCTCTTCTTTCCTCATGACATGTGTCCATTTCCTTACACTTAAAACAATGTAACTAATGCATCAAACAAGCTAACATTTTTTTCCAAGTTTACCCTTATTAAATGTTTTGTCCTTCAATTTGTTCAAAAACAATTTTACAACTCTCTTACCACATGTAAAAAATTAAATAATAAAAAATTCAGTTTTAAAAAAAGAAAAATGTCTATTTTTTTTCATAGATAAAACTTCTATTTTTTTAAACACAAAAAAATGACCTAAAAAAAACACCCAGTAGAAAGATCACATTTTTAGAAAGAAAAAAGACTTCCTTCAAAAGGAAGTTCATTAATTGTAATTTTTTAAACTACTAAATAAAGTTAAAGAGCATTTTCAGTAACAACTAAAAATATAAATAAAAAAACACAAATAATCATATTCGAAGGGAAGTTCGTAGTTTTATTTATATCCCTTACTGCCTTTGGAGTTTGATTATTTCAAAGAAAAAAAAAATCCTAAAATTCAGGCATACCAAATTTTCGATTTAAACCAATGTGTCTCCTTACTCCCTTTTGAGTCTTTCAAAAAACAAAAAATAAAACTAACGTTTTTTCTTATTTAAATTTTAAGTTTTATTTGAATGTCCCGTTAGAGTCTTTTAAAAAAAAACGTTTTTTCTTAATTAATTTTTAACAAGGTGGTAAGAAGTTTGTAAAAAA